AAAAAAAAAAAAAAAAAAGCATGTCTTCTAAGGTTTTTTTTCCCTCTCTTTTTTCCAGATGGTCTCACAGAGTTGCAGAATTGTCCAGGCTGGGTTTGAATTTGTGATCCTCCTGCCTCAGCCTCCCAGAGTGCTGGGATTACAGGCATGACTGTGCCAGGCTTTGGTGCAGTTTTTCTGGCCATACACCCATCTGTTCACAGAGGGACAGGGTCCTAGTGTGAGGTGGGGTGTGAGGTCCCCGTGGTGGGAGCAGGTGGCAGCACTGTTCTGGTGGAGCTGCGTCCGAGGGCTGAGGCGGGAGATTCTCTAAGCACGCCTGAGTCCCCACATCTGCAGAGTCTGGCGTCCTTGGCCTGTGACCTGAGCGCCCAAGTGTTGCGTAGTGTTTTCTCAGTGCTGAGGCTGAATCCGGAGGCCCACTACCGCTGAGCCACGACCTAGTCTGACACTTACCATATTTAAGAATTTCTTATTTTTTGAGATGAGGTCTTGCCATGTAGTGCAGCTGGCACCAAACTTGTGGGCTCAAGCAATCCTCCTGCCTTAGCCCTGTGAGTGCTGGCACCCAGGCCTTGTGCCACTGAGCCTGGGGGTTTTAGCCCTTTTTTTTCTTTTTCTTTGTTGGAAGTGGAACCCAGGGCCTCATGCATGCTAGGCAAGTGCTCAGCCCTGGAGCTACACGCTCAGTGCAGTTTTACTCATTTAGAAGTGTGTGATTCAGTGGGGTCCTGTGCTTTTACAGTGGGTGCGGCCCTTGGCACCCTGCATAACTAGCATTTCCCCACCTCTGCGGGGTGCATAGTTTACATACCCCCTGCCCCCAGGGCTGGGGTGGATCTTGTGTATTTTTTCTCTGCCTCCAGATAGCCTTGCTGCCCACCTCGGGCCCTAGTAGGAGCCCAGTCTCTTCAGATCCCTGTATCTTTCCTCTGCGTTGTCCGCCGCGATTGGCGTCCCCTGCTGGACAGTTTTATTTTTGGTACTGGGTATTGGAACTCCGGGTGTTTGCTCAAAGTTGCTAAATTACTGGGACTAGGCTAGAAGTTGGGATCCTCCATCCTCAGACTCCCAGTGTTCTGGGATTGCAGGCATGTGCCACCATGCCCTGCAAGAGTTCGTTTTTATTTTTGTTTATTTTGTTTGTTGAGACAAGGCCTTGCTGTGTGGACCAGGCTGGCCTTGAACTCACTATGTGGCCCAGGCTGGCTGAGAATTCTCACTGATACTCCTGCTCAGCCTCCCAAGTGCTGGGATTATAGGCGTGCAACACCATGCCCTGAATCTGTTTTAAGGCTAGATTGCTCCCTTTTGCATTACAAGTAGGTTAATTTTGGATGTATAATATCTTCAAGGGATTTGGGGTGAATTGGGCCTGAAACTAAAAACAAGGGAGTCAGGTGTGGAGGACAGGGGCGGGTAAGAACCTGGCAGGACTTTGCATTCTGAAGTTACAGGCTGCTTAAAAATACCATCTGGAGGGGCCGGGGAGATGGCTCAATGGACTGAGCGCCTGTTTAGGCAAGTATCTGATCCCCAGTGTCACATGCTGAACTGGCCACCGAGACCGGGTGTGGTGGCGCAGGCCTGTAATGCCAGCGCTGAGGAGGCAGGAAACAGGCGGATCTCTACGAGTCCGAGCTGCATAGTGAGACCAACTAAAGCATAAAAAAAAAAAAAAAAAAAAAAAAAAGGCCCAGGCTGGTTTGCCACCTGCAGCCCTCCGTTGTCCCCCTGGAGCAGGGGTGGCCAGCAGCCGCTTCTCCAGCACTGCGCTGGCCCGCCCCACCGGCCCTGGTCTCCCTACTTGGCGGGTCCTGCTGGCCCTCGGATCTGGGCACGGTCCACCCCACCCCCACCCCTGCCCTCCACAGTGCAGTTGGCATTTGGTGGCCATCTGCGCCCCCGCCCAGGATGTGCTGGGGACACAGGAATGTTATACTTTTGTTGCCTGGAGTACGCCAAGTGCCCACAGAACACTGGGCAAGTGGTGCTCCCTGTTTTTCTTCCTTTCTTTTCCCCCCGGAACCGGGGGTTGAACTCAGGTCCTTGCGCTTGCCAGGGAAGCGCTTATTCTACAGGGAAGCACTTTTTCTACTGAGCTATCTCCCCGGCCCCTTTCTTCTATTTTTCAAGAAAGGGTCTCAGTATGTAGCCCAGGCTAGCTTTAAACTTACTGTGTAGCCCAAGCTGGCCTGAAACTCACAGTGATCCGCCTGCCTCAGCCTCCAGAGTATCTAGAATTGGAGGAGTCGTCTACTGTGCTCCTGCTCCCATGTCTACAAGGAGCGCTCCGTCACGTCGGATACTTTCACCTAAAGTCTTAGGGCAGGTTCTTATTGGTATGTTTGGGTCACATGGCCACCTCTGAGCCAATCAATGTGGTGGTCGTGGGAGGTGCCGTGCTCTGATTGGTTGCTTTGGTTTAGACCTGAGTGGCCCTTTAAAGGGCCCGTTACCAGCAAGGTAGCCTACCCAACGCCCCGCAGCGCTGCCAGGAGCCACTCGTCAAGTGTCTGGCGTACAGCCGTGTAACACGGGTTTGCATCTCCCTCCCAGAAGAGTTGCCAGACAGCCAGCATTGCCACAGCTGAGGCGGGCATCCAGGTCCGGCAGCGCGCGGAAGCCCAGGTGCAGACAGAGGCCCCCGCGCCCCCCGCGCCCCCCGCGCCCCGGCCCGACGCTCCCGGGCTGCTCGCCTTCCTTCGCCGCGTGGAGCCGGCAGTCACCCGCGAACTGAACCGGAACTGGCAGAGCCATGCGTTCGATGGCTTCGAGGTGACCTGGGCTGAGCCACAGCAGACGGTAGGGCTGGTGATGGCCGTTAATGCCATCCCTTCTACCCGCAGTAGTGCCTGCCCTGGTAGCGGTCATTGAGCACTTACTTTCTGCCAGGTACTGGACTAAGTCATTCCTTTTTGGCCGCACTGGAGTTGAACCCCAGGCCATGCCACTGAAGGACCTCTACAGCCTTTTTTAGTTTTTCAGCCCTTTTTATTTTAGTCAGTCTCGCTAAGTCACTGAGTTGCTCAGGTTGGGCTTGTATTTGTGATCCTCCTGCCTCAGCCGTCCAGACTGTGGGAGCACAGCCGTGACCCAACACCTGGCCTAGCCTAGTCTTTGCATGCATTAATCCTCGAGCGCCCCCTACTGTCCCGTAGTAGTGTCTGCCCGTAGCGATCTCAGCCCGCGCTTGTCCCGCGGCTCCTGCGACCCAGGCGGGTAGGTTGGGCTCTGTCGGGCTCCCAAGGCACCGCTGGGGAGATGGGCCCGAGCACAACCTGCTTGTCCAGGGTGAAGCCGAGGGAGTGCTTCCAGGTGGCCAGCCGCTGGGGTGGGCTGCTTTCTCTGTGGCTCATTCACCCTCAGGATGTGGGCAGGGCAGCGCCGCCCTAGGCCACACAGGTGACACTAAAATTGGCCCAACTGCGAGGGTTCGGTTTTTAGAAGGAGAAAGGAAGAAAGAAAAGAAAAGGAAAGGAAAGAAATTAAAGAGAAAAGCAAAGCTTAGAATAGCTTTGCAGCTGTCTGGGAGCGTCCTTGAGTTCGTTCATGCCACAGCCACCGCCCCTTCCAGCCCAGGCCCTGCCACTGTCAGCTCTGCGTGTGGCGCCCCTGAGGGTGTGGCCTCGGCCTGCTCTGCAGCTAGTGCTGGCTTGGCTGTCAGGCCCTGATGGCTGGGTTCTGGAAATGACAAATGTAGGGCTACAGTTCCCTCGGGGACGGCCAGTTTGCTCGGCCAGTGTTGAGGGCTTTCCCTGTCCAGGCCTGAGTGTGGCTTGGGGCTCAGGATGGGGACGGCCTGTCTCTGCAGGTGACCTGTCTGCACACGCTGGGCTACCCACCAGCCCAGGAGCAGGGTCTGCATGTGACCAGTGTGTCCTGGAATGCCACCGGCTCCGTGCTGGCTTGTGCCTATGGCCGGTGAGTGGTGGGGGGCAGCAGGGATCTGTCCCCCAGGGTTGGTTCCCAAACCTGGCCATCTTGGGCATCTTGCTTCATGCTGCCAGGGCACAGCAGGGGGAGGGCTGGGGGCCATGCTTTACTGCCCACCTGCTGCCTGGCAGCCTAGCCTTCCTGGCCAGCTCCCTCTGCTGCCGGGCCCATTGCTCGGAGCCTCCCTTGGCACCAGGGCCCTTTCCTGGAGCATCCCACACTTGGGCTGCAGCCCTGGGGTACACACAGAGGTGATCTGGCTGGGTCTGGCTCGTCCCGTGCAGGCTGGATGACGGGGATTGGAGTACACTCAGGTCCTACGTGTGTGCCTGGAACCTGGACCGGCGCGGCCTGCAACCCCAGCAGCCATGGGTGGTGGTGGAAGTGCCCAGTGCCACCATGTGCCTGGCCTTCCACCCCACACAGCCTTCTCAGGTTGCAGGTGAGTGCCCGGGATGCCTGTGCTATTAAGGGTGAGGGGAGGAAGCCCGTGGGCTAGGGCTTCTAGCAAGTACATAGTCTGGAGCCCATACAAGACCTGGGGGCTGCATGTGGTGTGTGGAGTTGGCAGGAAGGGAGCCTGGGGGCAGCAGGAAGAGCTGTGGGTGAGGCCTGAGGAGCCAGAACTCCCAAGGGGACTCTTCCCGGGTCTTTTGCAGTGAAGGGGCTCTCTGACCCTGCTCTGTGGGGGCCGTGTGGGCTCATGCCTGGCCCGGGGTCCCCACAGGAGGGCTGTACAGTGGCGAGGTGCTGCTGTGGGACCTGAGCCGGCTGGAGGACCCGCTCCTGTGGCGCACAGGCCTGACTGATGACAGCCACATGGACCCAGTGTGCCAGGTCAGGGTTTGGGGCCACAGGGCCGGTGGGCAGATGGTTTCCCTCTGAGGGATGACAACTTGGAGGGATGGCACCCTACCTAGGTCATCAGGGAGCTGGCCTTTGGACACGAGTCATGTCTGTCCCAGTAGGGGCCCTGTGGTGTTCCCAGCTGCCTCCTCCCTGTGGCCTGGTGCTGGGCGAGGGCAGGACCTTGGGAACTTCTTGGTTTCTTGGAAAGGGGTGGGCTGCACACAACCAGCCACTCTCCATGCCCTTCCCTGTGGTCACAGGTAGTGTGGCTGCCCGAGGCTGGGCGTGGCCACTGTTTCCGGTTGCTGAGTGTGGCCCCTGATGGCAAGGTGCTGCTCTGGCAGGGGGGTGGCCCGGGCGGCCTGCAGCTTCGTGAGGGCTTCGCCCTGGTCCTGCAGCAGTTGCCTCGGAGTGCCAGGCTGAAGAAGGTATGTGGGGCGTGGGGCATGGGGCATAGGCCAGCGGCCAGGCCCAAAGTGGCCTTACCAAACCCTGCTGCCCTCCACAGCCTCCCCGGGGCGAGACCGAGGTGGGTGCCACAGCAGTGGCCTTGTCCAGCTTCGATCCCAACCTCTTCATCCTGGGTACAGAGGGTGGCTTCCCACTCAAGTGCTCCCTGGCAGCGGAAGAGCCAGCCCTGGCACGGACGCCCAGTTCCGTGTGCCTTCGGGCCCCCGCTCGCTTTGTCTTCTCACCGCATGGCGGCCCCATCTATTCTGTGAGCTGCTCCCCGTTCCACAGGTGGGGGTTGTCTGCTGTGGCCCTACTGTGGGTGGCGGTCCTGGGGATGGGCTCTCGCGTGGAGGAGCCCCAGGCTGAGTGCTCTGCTCTGGTCCAGGAACCTCTTCTTGAGTGCAGGGACCGACGGCCACGTCCACTTGTACTCCATGCTGCAGGCGCAGCCCCTGACCTCGCTGCGCCTGTCCCACCGGTACCTGTTTGCTGTGCGCTGGTCCCCTGTGCGCCCCTTGGTCTTTGCAGCTGCCTCTGGGGAAGGTAGGAAGAGGCCACCAGGCCAGGGAGTGACCCCTCCAGCCCCAGGGTGCTGGCGGGCAGAGTTCAGCCTGGAATTTGCCCCCCACCCCCAGGTGATGTGCAGCTGTTTGACCTCCAGAGAAGCTCCCAGAAGCCCACCGTGTGCGTTGTGCAGACCCAGGATGGAAGCCCCGTCTACTGTCTTGAGTTTAACATCCAGCAGCCTCAGCTCCTGGCTGCTGGTGACGCCAAGGGCACAGTCAAGGTGTGGCGGCTGAGCTCTGCCTTCACTGAACAAGGGCCCCGGGAGACGGAGGACCTGGACCAGCTAGCAGCTGAGGTGGCCACCTGAGGATGACAGGGACTCCCGACCCCCAGCCCCTACTCTCTGGTTCAGGTGTGAGCTGAATGAAGAGGTGAAACCTCTAGGGGGAGAGGCAGTCCTTTATTTAACGTCATTTACACGAAAACAAGGTTTGGGGTTGGGGGAGAACACAGGAGCACAAGCCAGCTGCTTCGGTTCTGCCACGTCGGAATGAGGGCAGCTGGCTCTGTTGGGTCTGGGTCCCCACGGCAAGGCGGTGATTGTGGCTGCATCAGAAGCGGTCTGTTGAAGCACCGTTGCTACTACGTCTTAACCAAGCAAAGCGGGCTCACGGGTACACAGAGTGACACTGTCTGCGGGGTGGACATGCGGTGGGCAGGCGGGTGGGGGGTCAGTTCACGAAGAGTGAGCGGGTGAACTCCACGTAGTCGAAGGCCGTAGGCAGCTCACGGCCCTTGCTGTCCACGTAGGGCTTCATGTGGGAGACGCAGTAATCGGCCTGTTCCCGGGTCAGGTTCTGGGGGTGGGGGTGGGGGGTGGGGACCGTCAGCAAAGCTGCACGTTGGGTGGCTTTACAAGGCCCCACGGCCCCCACCTGGAGCTGTGAATGGGACAAAACTGCGAGCCAGCACTGCTCACAAACCAGAGGAGCCCTACTGTGTCCCCAAGCCCCCGCCGCCTGCACGTACCTGGTAGAGCTCCTCCTTGGTCACGTAGGGCTTCCCCTCGGAGCTGAGGGCCCGGAAGGCGCTCTCAATCTCCTCGCTGGACTTGACATTCTCTGTCTCGCGGCTTATCATGAAAGCCATGTATTCCTGCAGCGAGACATGGCCATCCCTGGGGTGGGATGGGGGTGTGATGGTGAGTGGAGGGCGGGCTAGGCCTGCCATGGCCGCTGCTGTCCCCGACAGCTTACCTGTTGGGATCTACTGTGTCTAGGATTGCCTCAAACTCGGGGTCTGGCTCCCCTTCCTCCACCATGGGGAGGTCGTAGCCCAGCGAGCGCAGACAGGACTTGAACTCCTGGTGGTTCAGCCTGCCAGACTTGTCCTTGTCAAAGTGTCTGTGGACAGGGCACAGGACTGCTCAGTATGTGACCTGGCTGCACAGCCACCACGGCCCGGAGCCAGGGAGGGACCCCACTCACTTAAACATCATGCTGAATTCCTTGAGGGCCTCCTCGGTCACACCTGTGGTGTTCCTGGAAGGAGAGCAGGATTGGCGGCCGGCCTCCACACGGGGACATCCCGGGGCCGAGCGCTCTGCCTGCCCGCGCCCAGTACCTGGCCTGGATCTGCTGCTCCAGGTTGTGCTGCATGCGCATGCCCAGCTGGTCGAGCTGGTCCCACTGCTGGGCCAGGCCCACAGTGCTGTGCTCTGTGTACTTGTTGTCCAGGATGAGGGCCTCCTCCATGGCAGCCCCCAAGTCCTCGATCTTCTTCAGCTGGCTGCGCATGGCTCGGATCTCCTGGTGCTTGCGCTGGGGGGGGGGGGGGGGACGTGTGAGATGAGGCCCTGCCAGGGCTGGCCTGAGACCCCCCCAAGAGGGAAGAGCAGAGGGGGACAGCAGGCCACCCAGGGGAAGCAGCCAGGACTGTGGGCCAAAGGGCTGCATCCTTTTAAAGCAGGGCCCCTAGTGGCAGCTGCTAAGGACCATGAGACGCAGATCTTGAGTTACTCTAGGCCAAGGGTAAAGGGGCAGAGCTGGGCCTGGAGCCTGGGACACTCACTTTGGTGGCTTCAAGCTGGGACTCGAGGGTTCCAGATTCTTCCACCATGCAGGACCTAAACACAGACGCACAGTGAGGCGGGGCCTGAGCTCAGGCAGCAGAGCTCATGACTAACTGCTTACTCGGTGAACAATGCCTGGCAGCCTATGCATCCTCTCAGGAAATAAAACCTATCTGCTGCCCAACAGGCCTCAGGGGCAGGAGGACAGGAACCACATTGCAGGCCCTTCCCCGCTGGAAGGTACCTACATGGGGAACCATGTTTCAGGAGGGGCAGTGTGGCCTCTCTGAGAAACAGTGAAGTGGGGCACAGCGGTGGTTTTGGGAGATAGCCCTTGTCCTGCCCAAAGAAAGACACGGAAGCCTGGACTTGGGCCCTGGGGAGCAAGTGGGCTTGGGGGAGCCCGCTTCTCCCCAGGATCACACACACAGCGAGGTCACAGAAGGCTGCCAGTGAACAGAGACAGCACACGAACTGGGGTCACATGCAGGGACGAGTTCACACGACGTGCAGCCCAGGCTCCTCGGTTCCCATGTGCCCAAAGCCCAGCGAGCCAGAGTGAGCCCCAAGTCTCCCCAAGTCCAGAGAGCTCTAGCAGGCAAGGCCCTGGGTCCTGCCAGGGAAGAGGGTGGTGGGGCTGGTGCAGCGGGACAGCCCCTCCTTCCAAGCGGCCCGGGTGAGAGTTAGTCAGAAAGCTGAGCTGCTGGGGAGGCCACAGTGCATTGGAAAACCGTGGTGAGGGAAGAAGAGAATAAGAGGAGAAAAACCTTCCAGACAGGTCATCCCCAACTTCATACTGATAGACACGAATGACCCGACGATACGCTATGCTAGTCAAAGAGAAGAAACCGAATGAATACACAGGAGGGTGGCAGCGGGAGCACCCGAGACAGACATGCGCACCAGGCCCCGGCTGGCAGCGTGCGGGCCAGGACAACTGGGTGCCAGGAGTGGACACCTAGGGCAGCTCAGTGGCACCAGCAAGGCCAGCCAGGGCTTGGGAGGAGCCACAGTCCAGAGGGCATGGCAGGCGAGGCAAGAGGCTGGGCAGCAGGCAGTGTGAGGGCAGGTGGGCAATGGGTGTATTCTGTCCCTGTCCCTTGCTGCTCTGCAGGAATGTGGGGCCTTCCTAGCACCAAAGGCCGTATCTTCCTGTCCTAGAACCTCAGGGGCACCGTCTTGGTAGGGCTGGCCTGGTCTGTCCCCATGTAACATTACCACCACGTTTCTGCCTTTGGGGCGAGCTGGGGCTGTGCCTATGGCCCAACACTGCCACCCAGCATCACGCCTGCTGACCACTTGGGAGCTAGGCAGTGGCTCTGGACACGGGGGATGCGAAGAAGCCTACACATCCCCAGGGGCTGTGGCTCTGGCACCCTGCTTGGCCATGCCCCTGCCAGGGAGCAGCCTGCGGGGCAGCGACGAGATCAGGGCACCACTGTGGCTGGGAGCTTTGGGGAAAGGCAGGCCCCTTCCTAGTGCTTGGGCAAGGTGGGTATTGGGCCCATCCTGGGAACCCCTGCAAGCTGGGCCACAGAGGGACAAGGGGCAGAGGGACAAGCACATGAGACACCACAACCCCAGACCAAGAGGACGATATTAACCCGTCGAGGAGGTAGGTTCTGTGAAGATCCAGGCGGCCATGAGACAAGGTGGGATCCAGATGCGGCGGCAATCAGAATAGGGACGGGAACAGAGACAGAAAAGACAAGAGAAACAAAACGAAGAACATGAGCACTTGTCACATTTGACCTGTGCCAGCTACTGCTGCTAGGTGCTGACCATGGGCTGCGACGGTGGCCTCAGCCTGGCACATCTGGCCTCTTTCCAGGGATGTCCTCCTAGGCCCTGCTCCAGCTACCCACGCTTGCGGCCCCAGGGCCTGAGCAGGCAGAGCCAACCTCCTCTCCTCCAGGAGGGGCCTGGTGCGCTTGACGTGGCATCTGCTCCGCTCCCTGGGCTGGGGGCATGGGGTCACCTGGGCCTGCGCACCTGGTCTCCTGGATCCACTGGTGGAACGCGTTCGCATGCTGTGCGAACTCCTGGCGCAACTTGTCGTTCTCCTCCTGCCGCCGCTGTTCCTTCTGCAGCTCCAGCTCACGCTCCTGGCAGAGGGAGGCCAAGGTCACCTTTGGCTTCTGGCCAGCTGACCCAAGGCCTCGGCTCCACCCCGGCCCAGTCCTCAGGGGCAGATCAGAGCGCACTCGAGGCCCACAACACCTTGATGATCTTCTGCAGGTTCCTCCAGGTCTCCTCCAGGGCCTCCATAGTGAACCAGGTATAGGGGTTGGAGGCCACGCGGAAGCTCTTGATCTGGCGGTCCAGCTCGGCCAGCTGGTTGAAGTCGGCCTGCGCGGAGCTGAGGGAGGAGCGGAAGGCGTCGTGGGCCTCGCGCAAGGCCTTGATCTCCTCCAGGGAATTGCAGCGCACCGGGTCTGTCAGGTCCTCTTCTGCATTCTCAAACCAGCTGTTGAAGGCTGAAGCCTTTTTGGCAAAGGTCAGGAAGAGGTCCTCCACCTGGAAGCCGAGGGGACTCAGTAAGGGAGGCGTGTCACTGCAGAGCAGGACAGCTCCCAGGGCCTGGCCAGGGCAGCCCGAGCCCTCCCAGCTCTCCTGCCCTTGGCACAACTGGGGCCCTGAGTGCAGCAGGGCAGAAGCCCCTGGCTCCTGCTCAGCTCCTTAGCTCAGGCCACAGCTTCTTTCAGGAAGTCAGGTCTGCCGCCCTCTACAGACCAGCTGAGCCTGTCCTGGTCACCCTCACCTTACGGAAATGGCTCTGGGCCTCCAGCAGCTTCTTTTTCCGGGTGGCGGAGTTGGCCAGAAGCTGGCTCCACCGCTTCATAAGCGAGGCGTGCCGGGCCTCGATGGCCTTTGACTGGACATGCTTAGCAGCTAGCAGCTGGTCTTTGAGGGCAGTGATGTTGGCGATGCCCTCCTGTTGGAAGGCCTGCAGGCCAGCATCGAAGGTCTCCTGCGCGAGGGGGACAAGCCAGCTTGTAGGGACCCTGGCTTCCTTCTGCATGCCTCAGCGCAGAGGGCTGTAGCAGGTTTCTCTGGATCTCCCCACCTCTGCTGCCCCTAGTCGCACCTCCTGCATGCCTGAGAGGCTCCTCACACATGACCTGCTCCCCCACACTCAGTTTACCCTTCTGGGCAGTCCAGGAAGGCTATGTTGGTGGCTAACCTGTGCCCCACACCTCCCGTTTCCTTGAAAATAAGACCTAACCGGGAAAATATGCCCGTGTCACGCAAAGCTTAGACCTCAGTGCTCCCTTGCTCAGTGGCTCTCTGTAAGGCATGTGAGGCAAGGACAGGCTGACTGTGGCTGTCAGGTTTTTTTTTTTGGCTGTCAGTTTTGATCTCTGGTTTT